CCTTGGCTCTGCTCAGGGAGTCCGCCTGGGTGTTTGTTTCCCCTGAGATGTGTTCCGCTCTGATGGAACTCACATTGGCTTCTGCCCACCGAGCCAGAACCAATGCTTCTTTCATTAGTTCCACTGATCTCGTTCCTCCCTCCTTGTTTACATGTGCCTTGGCTGCTACATTGTCTGTAAGCACGAGGACGTGTCTCCTCGTTACTAGGTGTGAGAAATGACGGAGGGCCAGGTGTATGGCCCGGAGCTCTAGCCAGTTGATGCTGTGTGACAGGTCCTTTTGACCCCACTGGCCCTGTGCTATCTGGGTCCCCAGATGGGCTCCCCATCCGAACAGGCTCGCATCTGTCGTGAGCGTGACCCTGTTCGGTTCCCTGAATATGCTCCCCTTGAGTGTCATGGGGGATAGCCACCATTTTAGTGATTTCATCACCTGTGCTGGTACCAGCACACTCCTGTTGGAGGTGCTGAGGTTCCTCCTCTGGTAGGGTAGGAGGAACCACTGCAACTCCCTCGAGTGGAGCCTTGCCCATGGGATGATGCCCATGCAAGATATCATCTTTCCCAGGAGCTTCGAGAGTTGTAGCAAGGGCACTCTCCTGATCTTTTGAATTTGGTGGATTAGCTTGGATATGCTGATCAGTCGCTCCTGGGAAAGGAATACCCTGCACTGTGACGTGTCTATCACCGCGCCCAGGTGTTGCAGTCTCCTTGAGGGAATGAGGTGGCTCTTGTTTAGATTGACCGAAAATCCGTGCCCCTGTAGGGTTCGGATTGTGGTCTTGAGATCTGTCCTTGCTTGTTCCCGAGATCTGGACTGAATCAAGATGTCGTCCAGATAAAACTGGACGCGAACCGGAATCAACCTGAGATGGGCCGCTAGTACAGCTAAGATCTTTGTGAATACCCTTGGTGCTGACGACAGTCCGAAGGGTAATGCCCTGTATTGGTAATGTCGCCCCGCGTAGGTAAATCTGAGGAATTTCCGGTAGCTGGGGTGGATGGGGATGTGTAGGTACGCCTCTGTGAGATCTATTGAGGATAGTAGATCGTCTTCCCTGACGCTGGCTAGTATGGACTTTAAGGAGTGCATCTTGAACCTCCTGTACTTTATGAAATAGTTCAGGCCCTTCAGGTCCAAGATTGCTCTCCACCCTCCTGATGTCTTTGGGATGACGAAGAGGATAGAGTAAAATCCTCTTCCCTCCTCCTCCTTTGGTACCTTCTCTATGGCCTGAATTGACAGGAGGTGGACTATAGCCGAAGTTATCAGCCTCGTCTTGTGTGCTCTTCTGGAGATGGGACATCTGATGAACCGGTTTGGTGGGGGAGAGCAGAAGTCTAAGGTCAGGCCATGTCTGATCGTTTCCAGGACCCAGGAGTCGGTCGTGGTCTGCTCCCAGACCCTGATGAAATTTCCTAACCGACCCCCAATGGGAGTATCCTGTTTGGCGTCACTTGGTGCGTTTAAAGGATCTGCCTCCCGCTCCCCTATATGGGCGTCTGGACTGGAACTGGCCCCTGGCTCCCGGGCTCTGGCGATCCTGGGTTCGATCCTGTCTGGGGTAGAAGGATCGTGAGCCTCTGGGCCAGTCCCAGGATTGCCCTGATCGAAAGGGCTGCCTCCATTCCCAGGGGCTTCCTGGGCGGGAACCCTGTCTCCGGAAGTCCTGACTGCCTCTCCTGTCTAACTTCTTTGATGGGTGTACTAGGATTTTTTTCTTGTCTCTGCCTTCGCTGACATGTGGGTCCAGAATGGAACCAAATAGGTCTACTCCACTGTATTTGGACGTCGAAAGACGCCATTTGGACCTCAGGTCTGTCTTCCAATTTTTGAGCCATAGTAGCCTACGTGAGGCCACTGTGGCCGCAATGGATCTAGCCGCATACTTTGTTGCGTACAGTGAAGCGTCTGAGACAAATTGCGAGGCCGCGAGGAGCTTGGTGGCCTCCTTGCTTGTTGAGGGCTTCTCATCCTGTACTGATGTTAGGTTGACTGTGGAAACAGCCTTTACCAGGAGTGATTTTAGGAGCGCTGGGTTAAAGAGTCCAGAGCTCGTTGCCTGCTCAGGTGCCGTCTCCTCGTCCTCCGAGAGGGGCATGTCTGACATGTCGAGGTCCACTGAGTCACCCTCTCCCAGTTGAGAGGAAGTTTCAGAGGTGCTGGTAGGGGGTGGCCTAGCCCGACCCTTACGGGGTGTGTGAAAGGCCACTTGTCCCTTAGAAGCCATGAACTGGGAGAATGCATCCTGCATGAATGCATGGAATTGTGCCGACCAAATGCCCTCCTGCGCTTTGTCGTTAGAGTGAGGCGCTGGGGTGCGGTCGGGTGAAGAAGCTGGTGAGGAGGGGTTGGAGGAGTCTAACTGTTCAGTTTCCCCAGGAGGAGACCAAGTCTTAAGCACTTCCTCGGCAGTAGGGTCTGTGCTGGGTGTCACCGCTGGGACAGGGGAAACCGAATTTGTCCCATTGGCATTGGTTCTCTGTGCCCTGCTAATCTGTCTTTCTAAAGCCAAATGTCTCCTCAAAGCCTCTCGCTCAGCCGTTTTAGACTGTCCCTTCTGAGAAAGGTGTTTTGTTTTAGCTTTCTTCTTCCCCCCCACCTCAGATTCAGAAGATCTGCGTTTTTGTTGCTGCTGTGGGGGGGACAATTGAGGGACCTGTGTGACTGAATACGAGACATTGTCTGCCATTGTGCCAGACACCCCGAGTAGGTAGTGCCTGGAGTGGGGGACAGGATACGCAGATCAGATGCAGATGTTTGGGGCTGAGCCCTCCTCTGCCTATACAAACAATGGCCGGACAGACAGGAGTCTTTGGACAGAAGATCCTGCAAGGCAGTGACTAAAGGTCACTATAGGAACAGTCAGAGAAAAATACTCCTCCTCACCTCCTCACTTAGTCCAGAGAAAGTGCAGTTTATACCTCTCTCTCCCCCTGTCTGTGGCTGTGGCAGCAGACCACGATCAGAAAGGTTCTCTTCCTTTTCCCTCTTCCTTCCTCCTGTCTCAGCTTCTTGCGATAATCCCGGATTTTAGCTTAAGGGCTGCCCCTTTGTCTGCAAGGGAATGGAGTCCGGATGGCCCCGCCCCCAAGGGAAAACGGCGGGAAGGTCCGTTCGCTCAAAATGGCGAATGGGGAAGAAACCACGCCTCCTAATGTTAGCCCGGGAATCCACGAGGTTCAAACAATGGCGGATCTTTGACTCTGAGGGACCGCGCCTCTCCTCTAAGGAGAAGGCACTTCTAGCGCTGGTTCTGCCTCTCGCGCCGCTCCGCTGGTCTATGCCGAGCGGCGCCGCGGTTTAGCCGCTTTCCGCGCGGCTCAGCTGTTTCGCGCTGAGCGGCGCCTCGTTCTATCGGCCCCAATCACGCTTTCCGCGCGGCTCAGCTGTTTGGCGCTGAGCGGCGCCTAGTTCTATCGCCCGAACCGCTCAGCTGTTTGGCGGCCCCGGAGAGCGGGGTGGGCCGGTTATCGGCGGGCGAGCGATCCGGTCCGGCTCCAAGCCTCCCGTTAGTCCCTGACGCCCCACTCACGAATCCGCCGATCCCGGCTGCCTCTCTCGAGTCCTATCCGCTGCCAGACAAATTTTCGTTCAACTGGAGGAAGAGGGGATTCCCTTTTTTTTTTTTTTTTTTTTTTTAAGTTAAGTTAGTTTTGTTCTGAGAGCTGCTTCTCGCACTTCTACCAGGCTTCGAGACTGAGTCAAAACTGGGGTCACGCCCAAAGGAAGGGGTGTGGCCGAAGTTTTTACCCAGTCTGCCAGGCAGGAAGGCCGTCATAGAACCCATCCATTTGGACTCTACAGTCATCCTGCTGGAGAACGGAAGGGAATAACAGTACTTGATAAAATTAAATAATATCTTTTGCAAAGGAAGCGGATAATTGAAAAATATTGACAAAGAGAAAATAACATATCTTTCAATGGAAGGTTAGCATGAAAAATAATTCACCAAACTAGAAACTGAGCTGAGGTTTCTAGTTTGGTGAAAAAGCAAATATATTGTATTTACCAGATTAACTGAATTCTGGACAACAGTTCACATAATTTTCTATAGTAATATTTAGAATTTATATTATTGGAGGAGTTAAAAACTGTTATTTGTTCATGCATCCAGGTTTCATGTTTTTATTAAATGCTTCATGGTATACTTGTTTTTATTTCCAATTTAAGCATAAAAATAATGCAACATACCGTATTTTATTAAGCAATCTGGATTCAAAACAAAAAAGTTATGTTGATTCTCATGTCACACTTGTCACCAACTCTTTAAAAAAGCAGAGTCCTTTCCTGTATTTGTGCAACAGCCATTACACTTTCTCAGAAAAAATCTATTTTTGATTTACTTTGCTGCTCATGTGTCCGATATGCATGCTCATATTTGTGCCATAATCCCACTTTCCCCCTTTAACCCAGATTGCGACAAATCCCTCTACCTTAATTTTATAATGTAAATACACAATCAAATATAAAATGAGTTTGAGTACTTCTGCAGAGGTAAATATATATCTTAACTCAGTGGTGGCGAACCTATGGCAAGCGTGCCAGAGGCAGCACTTGGAGCCCTTTCTGTGGGCACCTGTGCCGTTGCCCCAGCCCCGCCTCCCCCCTCAGCTCCCTCACCAGCAGCCCCCCTGGAGGAGAGTCGCCCTTGGGTGCAGCCCGCACGGAGCAGCACAGCCAAGGACATAGCCAGGCAGCAGGGACAAGACTCCACCCTCGCGCCCCATAGCGTGCAGATGATGCTGCAGGGTGCGGGTAGAGGGCGTGGCTGCCATGATGCTGCAGGGCTGCCTGGGTGATCTGCGGCAGGCCAGGGAGGCAGTGCATGGCCGAGCGGGTGGGCAGGGGGCAGGCAGGGGCGGAGCAGGCAGGGTGGTAGGCAGAACAGGGACGGGGGGAGGTTTTTGGGAACTCGGTCTCTAAAGGGTTCGCCATCACTGTCTTAACTTATAATTTAATATTTATAATATAATATTTATGAATATAGAATACGCACTGTTCCTAAAAGGACATCATGAGGACAACAGTTGAGAAGATGACTTTTGCACACTCTGTCATCACTGAATTTAATTCGCTGACGTGTAGTATCCCCTGCAACATAGAAATATACATTTCCAATTAGAGAATCATATAATATTGTATATACCATTCATACTTTTCATATACTTTCACTTTTGTTCAAAAGAACATTCTACTTTTCACAAAAAGAAAAATATTAAGATATATCATTTCAGCCTCCGCAATGGATGCAAGTTTCTAAAATAATGTAGGAAAACTAAAAACTCTACACTGGGTGAAAATTCATTGCCTTTAAAGCAAATTTATGAAAGGCATAAATTAATACTCCTAGTAAAATTGGTTATATTAGCAAAACATTTATACCACATTTTCTGATGTTTACTGAATTCCCGCTGTCAGTTCTTCAAGATCTAATTTTTACTTCAGGCAAGGGCAACACATACTGAAGGTATGTATTTCAGTATGTGAAATACTGTATCACTGGGAAAACAATGCCTGCAAACAGCATTATTCAAGAGAGCTGTAATCCTGTTTGATTATATAACTTCTTAAAGATAATTTGAAACTTTTACAAACCTTTATAAACCCCAAAGCGTCAACCTGCTTACCAAATATTGAAATTCAATTACAAGTTTAATCAGTCACATCTGTGAACAAGGTAGGAAAAGTTTTATCCAAATAATATGCAAAACACTGGCTACTGATTTATTGCAGATTTTTCCCCAAGACAATTTGCAACAGAATATTCACTGTCTCAGATTTGAAAAAGATAATTCCATAAAATGTATTTTCAGTCTAAAGATGTAGAATCAGATACAATCCTTATATTTCCAAGGTTTTTTAAAATATATTTTAAATTATGATTATGTAAAATGAAAACCTACTGGTGAATTACTGAAGCAGAATATCACTGCTGGGAAAAAAACAAGAGTTTTGAAACTTTATCCCAACATTATTCATTTCAAAAAGGAAAAAGGTTTAAAATAAAAAATATATAGCCACTAACCTATTCTCATAAACCTAGATGAATTTAAGCCTATACAGCAATTCTACACTTCAAATTTCTAATCTAACCAACTTATTATGCAATTCCAGAATAACTACTTGCCCTAAAAAAGAACTGATGTAACATTTTCAGATGGGCTGTATTCTGCTCAAGTATTTGTTTCTGATATCAATGTTTATCACGGTTAGTCAAATAAGCAATTCACAAAGCTTCAGAGTAGTTCAACAATAGGTTTTCAGAAGCTGGGTTTTTAGATTTAGTAATTTTATACTAATGAAAATTTAGAATTGTCTTTAAAATCCACACCTACTACTGCAGAAAATGAGGAACTGGGATATTTTCCCACCAATTTTCCTCTCTTTTTAAAGACACAAATTGTTGGTTCCACATTAACACATCTGAAAAGTTAGCAATAACTCACGGCTCGGCGAATGCGGGGCCTTTCTGACACTCCCTTGCAGAAGTAGGCAGGCATAGATACATTGAACCTTTATAAATAAAACAAGGGGCTATATTGTTCAGTTTGTATATAATAAACTCTGCCAGCATTTTAATTACAGTGTCTAGAAATACATTGTGAAGGTAAAGAGTAATAGGAAACCTGAAGTATTTGTGCCTGGTAGCAATGAGTCAGCTTTGTATTCAAGGGAGATTTTGTTAGGAAAAGCTACCTAAATTATAAGCTGGAAAAATATTTTGATTACTAGGTACCTATGTTCTGTCCTGCTTTAAGCAATCTAGGAATTTGCTTAAAAATTTTATCCCAGTGCCTAGAATTTCAAATATATTTCCAGCCATGCTTAAAACACTTTACATTTTAAAACCCATTTGTTTCCAGATAAAACTTATCTCAAAATGCAAAATCACTATTAAAATATATTTGCATGGATTAGCAAGTGAACATTTTAAAATACAAATTTTGAAATACAGATTGTTCATCAACATTCAATAACAATGGTAATTGAAAGCAAAATGGGAAACAGCTTTTTCTTTTTACTGTATATTCTATGTGATCAGGGAAATTTATTCTTGCAATTGTCATAATGAATGTATATGAACATGTTTGGTGTTCTTTAGAAACAGTAACTTCCTTTAAAAAATGTCTGGCCCAAACCATATTTCACTACTTCATAAATATGGAAGCAGTTATATACTTGCATGTCATTTTTTTTAAAAAATCCCATGGTCAATTGCTACATTATCTTTTAATTTACAACATAATCTCCTGATAATAACAATTAGCTCCCTAAAACATGTGTTCTCCACCAAATTATAATTTAGTGGAATCTGGAAATACTAATCAAATTTCATGTCTTTTACTAATATATATGAATATATTATTTACCCAAAATAAATACATTTAACTACATATTCTTCTAGAGAGATAGAATAAAAGTGTGCAAATTTTTACAGCTAACATTCTATTGTTGTAAGCATTCAATTATTTAAATACATTAGGATACATTTCTCATTATTCTGATAATTAATTTCACATAAACTATAATTTTCCTCTTATCTCACCTACTAATTACCCCAGTAATATTACTGATATTCCTACTATTACTGAAATCTTCTTTAGTTTATACAAATCCTAATTTTATGTTATCAAGAAAATAGAATGATGCTAAAAATTAACATGTCAAAATGCATCAACACGAATCAATCTACATGTATATTATAACATTTTAATCTGATATCCCCATTACAGATAGTGTCAGAATCATGTCCACAGAAACCACATGCAGGTCAATACGTAACTTTTTCAATAATTATAGATTGATTTTCTCTGTTAGTGGAGCAGCAATAATCTAAAGAATAAGAGCTGAGAAAGAGGAAAATCTTATATTTTTCACTCCGATAGCTGACTAGATTACTGCTTTCTTACCTCTGAAAAAGCAAACATGACTATATGTGTGTATATTTGTGTATCAATCAAATAGCCTTTAATTCTGTTTGTTGTAACTACACTTCAATGATTACTTGCAAAACGAATTATACAAATTCCTCAAATTCTTACTTCAACAGAAGCTATGTTTCAAAAGAGTAGGACATAAAATATTAAAGACAAAAACATCAATTGTTTAAAAATAAATGCCCAATTACATGTGATCTTTTTATATCTGATTAACAAGAATACTTTTCTGTTAGCATAATTGTGCATGCATCACTGTGCACAGAATAACAAGTAGGTAGAATCAATCTATTTGTGAAATAGAAAGATTACACTTGGCATTTACATTACGAAAAACTTATGCAGATATTAAAACTTGTTAGCCACTTTGAATATTTTTATTACAAAGCTATGCTAAACTAAATATTATTAAATACTCAAAAATGCTCTTCGTAATTAATTTTATCAATACTGCATTTAAAAAGCCATCCTTTCAACACAATTTCTCTTTCCTTTCTTTAATCAACGATAAAAATAAAAGACAAAATACATATTTCACTAGATTACTGTTACTTGAAAGTCTGGGAAATTGCTATGCTAAAAAATAAATACAAATAAAAACATGTTTTAAAAAACTCCACAACAAAGGAATATTTGATCTTCCTTTTCTAGTTATTTTAATAATGTGTATTCTACCTTCATTTAAACAAATCTCATTATATATAGGAACATTATCATAAATATTTGTATTAGTCGTTAGAAATGCATATGTAGACATATATGTATACAGGTATGTTTATTCCTTTTAAATCTTTTTGTCTTTGAAAGATTATTTTCATACTGTTCTGAAAATATGATTCTGCTAATGCAAAACATTGTTAGCCACTCATATCTGTTCATAAACAGCATTAGTCTGATAAACAAATCTAGACAGTTTTCTCCCAGCCACAATTCGGTAAATGACATTTTCTACAGCAAATTATATTTTCTATGGTAAACCCTCACTATATACAGCATTTGTGTCAGAATCCAATTATATTTCATCTTTAATTATCAAACATAGAAACTCCCAATTCTGCCTTCTCTGGATTCTGCCATAAGAGGGAGAAAAGGGGGAGAGCAAAGGGGCTTTATGGCCCTCACTTCCTTCAGCACACTTCAAAGGACTGAATGTGTGTTTATTGTGGCCTCTAAGCGTTAACATATCAAAGAAGAGTAATTGCCTTTCATGTAGTTATCTGAAGTCTCCATCCAGACGGAAGAAGAAAGGGGATGGAATTGTGATACTTGAAACTATCACTGGAAGGGGGGTTGATTGGGTGGGACTACTGGGGAACCCCTTAAAACCTTGAATGGGAGAGCTTGAACCCCAAGTCCTGTCTAGCATGCCTGCAACCATTTTCTCTTAATAAAGGATTCCTGTTGGAAGAGCTATTCCAAGAGTTCTGTCTTCTTAAGATGCAAAGTGGGGTGGGTCCTTACATTAGACAGGACTTGCAAAATTAATCCACCTGGAAGGTAGACCCTTGCCGGGGGATTTTGCAAAAATTTACCATGTCAGACAACGAAGCAAGAGAGGGAGAAAACTCCCTGGAAAGAGAGCCGCTGACCCAGTTGGAACCTTGCCAGATGTTGGGATCCGAGAGGCCAGATTTCTCAGAAGAAGAAGTGGTGGAGACACAGGACCACAAGCCTCGCTGGTCGATGGGCGTTGGAAAGAAAAGCGAGTGGGGAAAGGAATCAAGAAAAGTGACCCTGAGACGGGGGACCAAGCAACCAGAATGGAAGCAGGAGATGGAGAAATCCCTGCACGCAAGTGAAGAGGGAGGAAGCTGTATGCCGTACTCAGACTGGATCCTAGAGAGAGCTATTGACCTGATGAAGAGAACTCTCAGCTCCCTAGGAGAGGAGATTCCTGAGCCCTACGCCCGCCCCAGTTCCTGGAGCCACAAAGGGAGAGACACCGAGGGGGACGTGGAACCTGCAACCCCAGGGACATTTACTGATCCAGGAGCTCCCACCCCCTACCGGACCACAGATGGAAATCTGGACGGAAGACACTACCACCCACAATGGAGGCACCGATCCATTCCAAGACGTCCACCGTTGGAGGTGAAATTCAAAGGGGAGCCAACACGCTTGGGGTTTTTCCTAACCCAAGTCCTCAGCTACATG